AATGATGATGTCATAGATGTGTTTAAAAAATGAATTTGCATATTGGGATTGTCAGAGGCTTTTGGGGAAATTAATGAGGTTCTCAAATACTATAAAAAAGGACCATCTTTTCATAAAAGGTGATACGATGTCATTTATCATGACACCATATATTTTTGTTAAAAAATTAGCACTGAAAATAGTTTTAATTTTAAGAATTTGTGTATTTTTCCATTATGATAAAAATTGTTTTGAATTAAAATGACACCCTTGCTTAATTTTTAATTTTGTTTTTAAGGAAAAAAAGTGAATTTTTTTCATAATTTATTCTGAAGTATTAGAACGTGGGTATATCAGTCAGACCTTTTGCAGGAACCGGAAACTATGCTAGGTGCATGAAGCAGAGTGTTTACTGTAAAATCAGGTGTTTTATGGGAAGTTTGGAAGGTCTGAAGCATCTATGTCTAAGGTGACACTTTTCAAAGAAATCAAATACAACTGGATTATCAGGGGAGTTAAAACTTTTGAGGCCACCATTGTAATCTGTAGAGTGGACATTTGAACGTTGTCGGAGAGAAGCTTTGTTTTCAGACCTTAACTGCTAACAGAGCAGACCAGACACAGGAATATGATCCTTACCTCATTCGACTTTCTAAATCTTTGTGTGGGTGCATCTAATTGGATGAATCTAGCTGCAAGGGAGTCTGTAAATGTAGTTTTCCTTCCTATTTCTGTAAACGGGAAGGGGAGGATGGAGATTGGGAGGGCCAATCCAAAGTAACCAAAAGAAAACTTAAGTGAATTCTCCTTAAGAGATCTTTTTCTGGTAGTGGGTATCATGTGTAATCATGCAGTTACATTTTTGACGGGCTATGTAAATTAGAAAGGTTAAAAAAAAATCCCAGGAATCTTCACAGTCACTAGTATTATGACCTCTGTTTACCACTAACTTGGATGCCATGTGGAACTAGCTGGCCTGTGATGTGGGGCAGAAATCCATGTAGAAAGAGGTGTGATAATTGTTACTGTGCTAGGCCATTGTTAAGATCATTTTCTTTTTATTACTATTGTTATTTTTTATATTTTTAGAGGCAGAGTCTCACTCTGTCTCCCAGGCTGGACTTCCGGGCTCAAGTGCTCCTCCAGCCTCAGCCTCCCAAGTAGCTAGGACTACAGGCACACACCAACACACCTGGCTATTTTTTTTTTTTTTTCATTTTGTAGAGATGAAGTCTTGTTATGTTGCCCAGGCTGCTCTCGAACTCCTGGCTTCAAGTGATCCTCCCACTTCAGCCTCGGAAAGTGCTAGGATTACAGGCATGACCACTGTGCCTGATCAGAATCACTTTTTCCTCTGTGTGTGTGTGTGTTTATATAATAATATCCTTTAATTTTATGCTATTTTCATTATATTCAAATTTATGATGAAAAGAGCTGACCTAGGCAATAACATTTACAAACCGAGTTTTGGAAAACTCTTCCAGAATCTACTTCTTACATGCTATTTATCAACTAACTTTTTATATAATCATCATTCATGGGGAAAAGAAAACCATAGTTATGTACCAGCATAACTCAAGAAATACTTTTCAATGATTAAAGGTCACCTTTAAGAGTATGCTAGAAAAACGAAAATGATCTGTGCATTTTACTAATCCAGTCAGAAATACTGACTAATTGTACTCCTGGTTAAGATAAATTTGGGTGCTGGTTTTTTGGCTTCTGGTTTCTTCTTGTACTTACTAGCATCATACAATTGGAGAGTGAATTAAGTATAGTGGCCATACAGGATGCTAAAAATGGTTATGTTCTATTGTGGAAGACAGTGTAGTGATTCCTAGATCTAGAACCAGAAATAGCATTTGACCCAGCAACCCCATTACTGGATATATACCCAAAGGGATATACATCATTCTATTATAAAGATACATTCACACATGTGTTCATTGCAGCACTAGTCATAATAGCAAAGACATGGAGTCAACCCAATTGCCCATCAGTGATAGACTGGATAAGGAAAAATGTGGTACGTATACACCATGGAATACTATGCAGACACAAAAAGGAATGAGATCATGTCCTTTGCAGTGACATGAATGGAGCTGGAAGCCGTTATCCTCAGCAAACTAACACACGAATAGAAAATCAAACACTGCATGTTTTCACTTAAAAGTGGGAGCTGAATAGTGAGAACCCATAGACACAGGTGGGGAACAAGGCACAGAGGGGCCTGTTAGGAGGAGTAAGGGGAGGGAGAGCATCAGGATAAGTAGCTAATGCATGCTGGGAATAACGCATAGGTGATAGGTTGATGGGTACAGCAAACCACCATGGCCCATGTTTACCTATGGAACAAACATGCATGTCCTGCACATATATCCCAGGACTTAAGATAAGAATTAAATAATAAAAAAAGGTTATTTTTTTTCACTATGGACTACTTAAAAACTACACGGCAATATAGTTTTTCCCAAACTATGCATTACAAATACCTTAGTCTTTTGTGTAGACATTGGTGAAAAATAATGAGCTTTTAAGGGGTGTGCATGTGCAGGTATATATGCCTGAATAGCATATAAATTCTCAAAAATCTTGCCTATTTGAAGTGTGTTACATTCCTTTATTAGTTGAAAAGTCAGTATTTTTCAGTTTCCTTTCATAGTAAGGGCAACTTCTTTTTTTTATCAATAGAAAATTAAGGAAATCAACCCCTTGTAGGTGTTGTGTCTCTAAATTACTGGTTGTCTTCAGCTGTCAGCAAACATCACGATTGACCTTCAGCAAGTTCAATGTTGTAGCAAAAGATATAGTTTCCAAGGAAGAAGTAACAGAGGTTAGGATTAAGACTGCTAAATTTAGGAGGGTGCAGTGGTGTGTGCCTGTAGTCCTAGCTACTTGGGTTGCTGAGCTGGGAGGGTCGCTTAAACCCAGGAGTTTGAGGCCAGCCTGGGCAATGTAGCAAGACTCCATTGTGGAAAAAAGGAAGGACTATTAAGTTTATATTTCCAGGCCATGTGTGGTGGCTCACGCCCGTAATCCCAGCACTTCGGGAGGCCGAGGTGGGTGGATCACTTGAGGTCAGGAGTTTGAGACCAGCCTGGCCAACATGGTGAAACCCTGTCTCTACTGAAAATACAAAAATTAGCCAGCCGTGGTGGCACATGCCTGTAGTCCCAGCTACTCAGGAGGCTGAGGCGTGAGAATTGCATGAACCTGCGAGGCGGAGGTTGCAGTGAGCTGAGATCGCTCTATTGCACTCCAGCCTGGCGAAAAGAGCGAAACTCCGTTGCAAAAAAAAAAAGAAAAAAGTTTACGTTTCCTTCATGGAGATGGGGGGAGAAAAGTTGCTCTAAAGATTTTTATCACATCTATCATAGCACCCACAAATGCCTCATTTGTAGTAAATACCCTTTTCTGTCTTGTCCATCTGCATTTTTTCCACTGCAAATGGGTTGGATGTCTGTTTAGATTTAATAAAGATGTTTGCTTTTCACTTTGTGGAGGTATTTCTTGGATCCAGAGTTTAACCTTAGCAAGTAAGGTAAGAGTTTAGTTTTATACTTAATATTATCTTTATATTGACCTGGTCAATTGATTCTGTCCAAATATGTAAAAATCAAGTCTTAGAGCATAAGTGTCAGCCTCCCAGGTGGGAAAAGCATTTGCAACGTGGCCTATGGCTCTTTACCATGCCCTATGGGATTCATCTGGAACACTCTGGAACACTCTGGAGTGTTGCAGGAAACCTGGAACACTCTGAAGAAATAGTTCTCAACACAGAAGTCTCTCATCCTCTCTTTCCCTTTCATTCCAGCCTGAGTGAGCCAATCCACATCTGTATAGCAGTTGTCTGACACTGCAGTTTCCACAAGGCTGGGGCTTGCTTCCTTTTTTTGTTTGTGTTCCTTTCTCTTACAATTCCTTCTTCCTCCCTTTTCATCTGTTATTCATTTAAATTTACCCTTAAGAAGGCAATGCCCTTCTTTCACTCAAAACATTTTTTTTTCCTTGAAGGGTTCCTGGTTGATTGTAAGTTTAGGAAAGGAAGACACCACCGTTAGATGTCAGAGTGCCCCATATGTTGGCCAGTTGAGATCAGCCACCTTTTTTTTTTTTTGAGGACAGGGTCTCACTCTGTTTCCCAGGCGGAGTGCAGTGGCAGTGGCGTGATCATAGATTGCTGCAACCTCGAACTCCAGGCTCAAGCTGTCCTTCCGTCTCAGACCCTCCCCAAGTAACTGTGACTACAGACGATGTGACACTGTGCTCAGCTACTTTTTTTTTTTTTTTTTAAATTTAAGTAGATATGCAGTTTGCTATGTTGCTCAGGCTGGTCTTGAACTCCCTGAGTCTCAAGTGATCCTCCCACCTCAGCCTCATGAAGTGCTGGATTACAGGGTGAGCCACCATGTCCTGCCATCACCATCTTTATAAATTGTGGAGAACTGTCAGTTTATCACTTCCTGAAATACCCTAGGTAAAAATATTAAAGTCCTAGGTAAACGTGGTATAAATGGTATGGCACATGCTCGTAAAGCACTTACCTTGGCCCCATATGGATATCAAAAATATTTATATATTCCGTATTGAATACTCATTCAGTGATACATTTAAAAAGCCAGTGGCTGCCCTTTAAATTTCAGGATTACCTTTAAAATGTTTTTAGGGACAGCCTAGAACAAATGTTCTTAGGCCTGGAAAGAAGCTGTCTTAGAAATAAACTGGTTTATCACTCAGAACTTTCTTCCCTATTCTCAGTGGTCCTATTTGTCCTCAATGACATCATTTGAAAATGAGACAGATACGGACTTAGGATTCTGTGGTAAGTCATGTGGTTAACCACTTTGAAATCTCAGGGTGCAAGCCAGGGGAACACAGTAGAAATAATAATATACCATACTTTCCTGTCACGGGTTTTCACTGAAGTATGACAACAAACAGATATAATTTTGCTTAATTTTTTGATACTTGAATTTTTCCTTATTTCATACTTAACTATGTCTGTCCTTGTTGCCCTTCAGGAAGTTGTTGACATGAAGTCTGAGGGACAGGCCAATGTAATTCAGCAGCTGGAACAGACTATTGAGGATCTGAGAACCAAAATAGCTGAACTAGAGAGGCAGTATCCTGCCCTGGACACAGAGGTGGCCAGTGGTCGTCAAGGGCTTGGGAATGGAGTGACAGCCTCAGGCGATGTCTGTCTCGAAGCTCTCAGGTTAGAAGAAAAGGAAGGACGGCATCAAAGGATTTTAGAGGCGAAATCCATACAGACTTCCCCGACAGAAGAGGGCGGGGTACTGACACTGCCTCCTGTGGGTGCGCTGGGGCATCCTCCATGCCCGCCTGGGGCTGAAAGTGGACCTCAGACAAAGTTCTGTTCAGAGATTTCTTTGATTGTGTCTCCAAGGCGAATATCAGTCCAGCTCGACAGCCATCAGCCCACACAGAGCATCTCACAGCCTCCACCACCTCCATCCCTTCTGTGGTCTGCTGGTCAAGGACAGCCTGGGTCACAGCCGCCCCATTCTTCTCTTTCTACCGAGTTTGAAACCAGCCATGAACACTCTGTTTCCTCCGCCTTTAAAAACAGCTGTAACATCCCATCTCCACCACCTCTGCCTTGCACAGAGTCCTCCAGCTCCATGCCTGGCCTGGGCATGGTGCCTCCCCCACCTCCCCCTCTCCCTGGCATGACAGTGCCTACTCTGCCCAGTACAGCCATTCCCCCACCTCCTCCTCTGCCGGGTACAGAAATGCTGCCACCGCCTCCCCGTCTTCTTCCTGAGTTTTATACTTAATATTATCTTTATATTACCTGTCAATTATTCTTCCACAATATGTAAAAATCAAGTCTTACAGCATAAGTGTCAGCCTCCCAGGTGGGTAAGAAGCATTTGCATGTGGACCTATGGCTCTTTACCATGCCCTATGGGGATCATCTGGAACACTCTGGAACACTCTGGAGTGTTGCAGGAAACCCTGGAACACTCTGAAGAAATAGTTCTCAACACAAGAAGTCTCTCATCCTCTCTTTCCCTTTCATTCCAGCCTTGAGTGAGCCAATCCACATCTGTATGAGCAGTTGTCTGACACTGCAGTTTCCACAAGGCTGGGGCTTGTCTTCCTATTTTTGTTTGTGTTCCTTTCTCTTTATCAATTCCTTCTTCCTCCCTTTTCATCTGTTATTCATTTAAATTTACCCTTAAGAAGGCAATGCCCTTCTTTCTACTCAAAACATTTTTTTTTT